GGTGTTATCACTGCAACAACATTATTTGCTATATTTCTCCATTTTAGGTGCCTCAAGTTGAAATCCCCCAGGAGCAAGATGTTGGGGGCAGGAGCTGGCAGATTTTCCAGACAGTGATCAATTTTTGACAGCTGTTCCTGGAATTGCTGGGACATTGCATCCGGAGGCTTGTAGACTACCACAATGACCAGGTTTTGGTTCTCGATCTTTACTGCTAAAACTTCCACTACATCATTTGAGGCATTAAGCAGTTCTGTGCAAATAAGTGACTCTCTGATATACAGGCCAACCTCCCCCCCTTTTGCCTGTTCACTCTGTCGCATCTGTATAGGTTGTAGCCTGGGATCCATATTTCGTTGTCCAAGTGACCCTTCATATGGGTCTCTGTGAAAGCTGCGAACATTGCATTTGCCTCTGCAAGTAGTCCACGGATGAAAGGTATTTTGTTGTTCGTTGCTGGCTTTAGAACCTGTATATTTACAAAGAAGAATGTCATCATACTGGTGGTATTGGTGGTACTGGGGGGGCTTTTTTTTCGGCACTAGTATCTGTATCTGTTGGTTTGGAGTGGAGGCCATCGACTGTGGTTCCACTCCAGAAATGACTGGATTTGGCGTACGATTTCTGCCATTTCCTGCCATTTTTTTTTTCTTCCTGGCACTAAAAAACCTTTCCCTCTTGAGTGACTGTGGCTAACCAGGTTTTCCCATGGCCTGGATGTTTTTTATCTTTTTGTCCCCTTTAGATGGTGTGCCTGGCAATTTAAGTTATAGCACAGTCTTTCCTGTACTGAAGAGGGACACATTTCAGGGTGAAAAAGCTTAAAGGAAGTGAGTTTGCATTTTCCTGTTGTCATATGGGCACGGCATTTTCTAGGGTGGTCATAGTTGCACGTCCCATCTGTTTTTCCAGATTTCCCATGCCTGCAGATACCAAATGCATAGTATGTGCACAGGCTTGGTTTCCATTTGCCTTGGGTTTTTGTGACAGTATTCCCTGTTGGTGCATGTTTACCTGTCTCATTCCTATCCTCACTAGTACTAACAATGGAGCTCTCACCAGTTGTTTCTGGTAATATATCCTCACTATTGCTAGTGGAGTCCCCTTGCTTGCTATCTCCTGTGGTATTACTAGTTTGTAATATTGGTTTTATCTTGTCCTTGACTACACTTGTTTCCCCACTACAGCTCCTGTCTCCCTCGAGGTCATTTATATGCATTCCTTCATGAGTACATTTAATGACTACCTGGACAGCATTTCATCCTCACCATTACTGTCTCCCAGGACAGCACCTCCAGTCTCACCATTACTGTCTCCCAGGACAGCACCTCCAGCTTCACTGTTACTGTAACCAGGACAGCACCTCCAGCTTCACCATTACTGTCTCCCAGGACAGCACCTCCAGCTTCACCATTACTGTCTCCCAGGACAGCACCTCCAGCTTCACCATTACTGTCTCCCAGGACAGCACCTCCAGCTTCACCATTACTGTCTCCCAGGACAGCACCTCCAGTTTCACCATTACTGTCTACCAGGGCAGCACCTCCAGTCATACAGTTTCTGACTACATGGCCAGCACCAAGGGCAATACCATCCAGCCCAGACTTTTTATTTTCCCATCTGTTATAGAATGCTTCCAGGTTTTCAATGAAGGCTGTTTTGATTTTATCCTCTTTTAATACCATTGTGATTTTTTACATTGCATTTTTACATAGTGTGAGATGGACACGAGGAACATCAAAGAGTGATCTGTGCTTTGTGTTATGGTCATGCGTTCTGCGGAGGTTGGTAAAGAGAAGTTTGAGGGGAGGGTTTATATCCGAGTTAAGTGTTCTATGTATGTAGTAGGCACAATAATAAGTATGGATGTTTTGTACGGTGAGTAAGTTTAGTTTTGAATATTGGTGGAGTATGCTGCCTCTAGTGGGAATCTGTTATCATTCTGACTGCAGCCTTTTGTTGGGTAATTAATGGTCTGAGATGGTTTATTGTTGTTGAACCCCATGCACAAATTCCATAGGTGAGATAGGGGTAAATGAGTGAGTGATATAGGGCCAGGAGGGCTAACTGTGGAACACAGTACCGTATCTTCGATAGTATGCCTACGGTCTTGGAGATTTTCTTGGAAATTTTTTGTACATGTGTTTGAAATTTGAGTCTATTATCAAGGTGGATTCCTAAGAATTTTCCCTCTGTGAGCTTTGCGACAAGTGATCCATTTATCATTATGTTAGGAGGGACATCTCAGTTCTGTTTCCAAACTGTATGAAGTAGGTTTCGGCAGTATTGAGAGCAAGTTCATTAATCATCATCCAGGTAGATATTTTCCGTAATTCGGTATTTACGGTATTGGCTAGCATGACTGGGCTTGGGTGAGAGAAGACATATGTAGTGTCATCTGCAAATAGTGTGGTTTGAGTAGTTGCGATGCATTTGGTAGGTTGTTTATGTAAATGAGAAAGAGAAGAGGGCCAAGGACACTTCCCTGTGGGACACCAACTGTAATCGGCTGTGTGGAAGAGTTTGCTCCATTTATGTACACATATTAGCTTCTGTTGCTAAGGTATGACTTTAGGTAGTTGAGAGAGTGCCCTCTTATACAATAGTGTGACAATTTTATGTGCAGCAAATCATGGTCAACTGTATCAAAAGCTTTACGTAAATCAATGAAGATCCCCAATGGGACTTCTATTTTCTCGAGTGCAGTGTATATGTATTCTATGTCATTGATGTCAGCTAGGCCTGTATACCTTGTACATAAAAATATTATTATTATTATTAATGGAAATAAGCCACTTTGACTTTTTTTGTGTTATCCTAGTTAATTTATATTATGTATGATAATTGTACTCATGTGTACCTGTACCTAAATAAACATTTATTTATGGGTAAAGTGATGGATGGCATTCATAATACAGTACTCTATAAGCCTATGTAAATTAAGTGATCAAATGAAAACACTGCAAGCCTCAGTTGTAAAACTAATTTTATACTGCATGATTTTAAGAAGCAAAATCCACTGAGAACTCATCTACTATTGCCACTAATAATAATAATTGTGATTGTTATTATGTGAAACATTAAACCCAAGTGAGTCATTTAGTATAAGGGGATAATGATAATAATAATAATAATAGTAAATTATCTAGCATAACTCAGCCTAGGTTTTGCCATCGGTTCGGTGCATGAAATGAATCATACCGAGTTGTGTCATGCACAAAGCTGATGATGGAGGCTAGGTTAAGATCAAATTTCGTTCAGATTTTCAACCCCAACAGGTTAGCCACCCAGGATAACCCAAGAAAGTCAGTGTGTCATCGAGGACCATCTGTTTTATTTCCATTGAGGTCCTCAATCTTGTCCCCCAGGATGTGACCCACACCAGTTGACTAACACCCAGGTACCTACTTGCTGCTAGGTGAACAGTACAACAGGTGTAAGGAAGCACATCGAAATGTTTCCACCCCACCAGGAATCAAACCCGGGCCCTCTGTGTGTGAAGCGAGAACTTTGCTAGCCAGGCCACAGGGTCACCCTAAGTTGCACTTAATTAATTGAAGTTATTATTTTTAATAATATAGCCTCAGTGGATTTTGACCATTAATTATATTTTAAACTGTACAATATTATGTTGGTTTTATAACTAATATTATTTTTCTGGGCAAATAATAAATAATGTAACGTAACATAACTCACCCAAGCCAACTTAATCTACTGTAGCCTAACCTTACTCTGCCATCGTAAATTTGCATCATTGTTAACATTGTTAATATTGTTAACATTGTTAACATTGTTGACATTGTTAACATTGTTAACATTTAAGCAGCAGCTTAACACAACACTAAGTATTGACTGTCTCAGAGGATGTTTAACCAAATATAACATTGTTGATAATATCTCCCAAAACAACAAATTGCACAAGAATGACATAAATAATGCCCAAGTTCTGCTTAGTAGTAGTAGTACTAGTACTAGTAGTACTAGTACTAGTAGAGTAGTAGTACTAGTAGTAGTACTAGTACTAGTAGTAGTACTAGTAGGAGGGAGGGAGATACATGATTATATACACCTGGAAAATCCTAGAGGGACTAGTACCGAACTTGCACACGAAAATCACTCACTACGAAAGCAAAAGACTTGGCAGACGATGCACCATCCCCCCAATGAAAAGCAGGGGTGTCACTAGCACGTTAAGAGACCATACAATAAGTGTCAGGGGCCCGAGACTGTTCAACTGCCTCCCAGCACACATAAGGGGGATTACCAACAGACCCCTGGCAGTCTTCAAGCTGGCACTGGACAAGCACCTAAAGTCAGTTCCTGATCAGCCGGGCTGTGGCTCGTACGTTGGTTTGCGTGCAGCCAGCAGCAACAGCCTGGTTGATCAGGCGCTGATCCACCAGGAGGCCTGGTCACAGACCGGGCCGCGGGGGCATTGACCCCCGAAACTCTCTCCAGGTAAACTCCAGGTAAACTCCAGTAGTACTAGTAGTACTAGTAGTAGTACTAGTACTACTAGTACTAGTAGTACTAGTAGTAGTACTAGGGAGTAGTACTAGTAGTAGTAGCAGTAGTACTAGTAGTAATACTATTAGTACTAGTAGTAGTAGTACTAGTACTAGTAGTACTAGTATTAGTACTAGTAGTAGTACTAGTAATACAGGTAGTACTAGTAGTAGTACTAGTACTACTAGTACTATTAATACAGGTAGTACTAGTAGTACTAGTAATACAGGTAGTACTAGTACTAGTAGTACTACTAGTAGTACTAGTACTAGTAGTACTACTACTAGTAGTCATAAAATATATTATTTTTATCTGAGGAAGCGCTAAACCCATATGATTATATAGCGCCCGTGGGGGGGATGGAAGGTATTCAGGCTTAATTCAGGGAACTGTAGCACAGATCCAATTCCCTAGATCAAGATCCCGTCACCAGCATCAAGGAACCTTCCCTGAGAGGTCATAATATACAAGCACTAACATCACCAGCCACTCACAGTCAACGTAAACAACGCCGCTCAGACTCCCACTTACTACTGACACAATAAACTTGTAAGGTTATGTTATTTTAGATTATTTTCCCTATTTACATTTCTTATATCTGCACAAAATAAAATAATGTCTATGTCATGACAAAAGTAACCAAAAATTGACTATTTTTTGATAATAAATTATGAATATTCATATAAGAACCGTACTTCTCCAGCGGTTGATTACCAACTGCCGCTTTATTTTTTTTTTTTTTACAATTACGCAATTATGACAACCATTACTAATCTAATCTAAATCTAATCCATTACTAAGCGATAAATAATTAAGTTTATTCAGGTATACACAAATACAGTAACATTATCATACACAGCAGCATATATGAAGAGAACCTGCCATAACCCAAAAAAGTTAGTGACTTATTTCCACTGGAGTCCTTGTGATAAATAGTATTTACATTTAAAAGTTAAAAACAGGTAAGTATCCTAACTATGCAAAAGTAATTACAAAAAAAAGAATAACCCCACTAAGGTACTTGCTCAGCTATCAAAACTTTGGAGTCCAGTCCCTGGACTCATTATGTACCTCTGTAATCTTTTGACTACCGCCCACAGGAGGGGATGGGGTG